CGGTTCAGCATCAGCAGCAGCGGCCGTCACAGACTGCTACCGTCCACCACGTCATCGGCAACATGACGATGACAAAAACGAGCGGATCACGTCGTCCCCGCGTGCGCACGCCGTCACCTGAGCCAGCACGCCACCCAATCGGAGCGTTCACGGATAACAATCCGTTCACCACTCGCCACAATTTCAACGACGACGATGACCAGGATTGGAATCTTCCAATCCCGCTGCTTGAGAGCACGGGGAAGACCCACGCACATCACATTGAATGATGTGCTCATCGTCCAGAACCTGCGCTTCAATCTCCTCTCGGCGGCTCAACTCATGGATTGCAGAGTCGAGCTCAGCACCGACCTCCGCACGCGTGACATTCTCTTGCACTACACGGCGCCGAAAAAGGCGCGCCGGCAGATCGGACCGGCACACTCCGAGAACGGAGTGTACATCCTCGATTTCGACATCCCCGACTGCAGCGGCGACTCCAAGGAGCTGATCGACCTTATTCCCCTGAGCTTCGAGCATATCCACCACTCCGACTGGAAGCACCCCGATGGGAGACCCTTGGTGCCTCACCATCCGCACCCTCGCGAAGTCGCGCTGCACTACCCCGGGCCTGATGGCATCTGCAGGGATTGCCACACGCCGACTGCTTCGACGAGCGCCATCGCCGGACGCGGACTCGCAGCGATCGCCGAAGCCGAGCGATTCGCCCCGCCTGACGAGGGCATGTCGACCATGGAGCTCGAGATTGCTACGCGCAACATCTACGGCACGGCGGAACACCCTCTCGCCGGACCTGCATCCCGCCACCTTCAAGGGATCCTGCGCGGCACAAACATCGGCACCTTCGACGCGGAAGGAACTCCGCGCCCCTACACGAAGGAAGACTTCCTGAAACTCTACCCCCACTGGCGCGACCCCGACCCCAAGAAGAAACTCACCATCGCGCAGGAGGAGGAGCTGGCGCGACGCGAAGCAGAAGAGCTCCGCCAACGGAGCCTTGCCGAATCACGCGGAACATTCGCCTGGAGCGGATGGGGCGCTGAAGAAGAGGAAAGCGCCTCCAATGAAGGGGGGTGGGGGAGCGCTGGCGGATGGGGAACGAGCGACACAGGCGGATGGGGCGCCGCAACTGGCGGCAACACTGGCGGAACCTAGGCAAGTGCGGGCGGCGGATGGGGCACCGCATCTGGCGGAGAAACAAGCGGCTCGGGCACCTCTGGCGGAGGCTGGGAAACTTCCTGCGAAGAACAAAGGGGGGAAGAAGAAGCAGAGGCGGAACCTGCCGTTGTTCCTCTCGGTCGTCCCCCATGTCGCCCTGCACCTGCGCTCCCCCCACCTGACGTCCAGCCGCATCGCGACCCTTGGGACACCATCGACTGGGGGAATGAGCCCTCAACCCCCCGTCGCACAGTCTACGGACCTGATCCCGAGCCGCGCGAGCCCACCTTCTTCCCCGGAACAATTTCCGGCACCAACATTCCCCTCTCCGTAATCCTTGACAGGGAGTTCTTGGCGCTGATGCTGACGACGGCGAACGAGGAAGAAGAAGCTGAAGAAGCAGCGGCGGAACCTACCCCAGTACCTGACGAGGACCCCGCAGCAGCACACGCACGCTACATGCGCACCTCAGGATTCCGCGCCAACGATGACCTCTGGCACCAGCGCCTCGGTCACCCCTCGCGCGTGACACTGAAGAACTCCATCGAGGCCGGCGTGTTTGCGCCTGGAGCACTCCTGCGCCTCGACGGCACCGAAGTAAGGGGCACCTCGCAGCCGCGCATTTGCACCGTCTGCCCTGAAGTTGCGCTGAGTCATCAGCGCTTCCCCCTGCTAGAACCCGGAACCAACCGCTACGCCAAACTGGAAAAGGTGTACAGCGATTTCCTCGTCGTAGGCTACTGCGGAATCAACGACGAGCAGTACACGCTCACCTTCATCGACGCGGGAACCTGCTATGTGTGGGTTGTGAACCTGGAGGCCCGCAGTAGAGCTTACGAGGCCCTCCGCCTCTGGCTGGCGCACGCGCAGCGACAGTCCGGAGAAAATTTGAAGATCTGGCAGTCGGACGGAGCGGCGGAGTTTCGAAGCAAGGAAATGCAGGACTACCTGGCACAGAAAGGAATCGAGCATCACGTCTCCCTCCCCTACGCACATCAGCAGTAGGGCGTTGCCGAGCGCACTAACCGCACGCTCATGACGAAGGTGCGAGCGCTGCTGAAGCAGTCCCAAGCTTCCCGCGACGTACTGAACGTACGCGATGCACCACGCCGTGCGGGTGCACAACCTGCTGTCAACCACCGCCATCACCGGGAACCTGTCCCCGCATCTGAAGTGGACGGGGATGAAGGGCGACACGTCCATGCTCCGCGTGTGGGGATGCATGGTGCAGTACCGCCCGCCGACATCAACCATCGGCAAGTTCGCAAGCCGCGCGCGCTGGGGGATTCATCTTGGCATCAGCCGCGAATACAAGGCGTGGCTAATTCTGGACCTCATCAGCCAGAAAGTCACGAAGGCGCGCGACGTGATCTTCTACGAACGTCTCTTCCTCGGCCAGTTCCGCGAAGATGAGCGGATGAACGCGAATCGCGTTTACGCCAACGACGGGCACAGCTACGCTACGCCCGAGGACGAAGCTGCCGCAGCCATCCTGGAGCAAAATACCAGAGGAGAATTCACAGGAGGAGATCGCCGCAGCGACGACGACGACGACGACGACGAAGACTCCTCAGGCGGAGGAGTCGGCGGAGCAGGAGGAAGCGGCGGAGGCGCAGCGGCACCACCTGAACCAGAGAGCGACGACGATGACGTGCAGGAGGTCATCCTGCAGCATCGCCACGATAGCACCGTCTCTGGACTACAGCTTCTCGGGCTCCATACCGCCACCTCAATGGCGCCACGTGTCATCGAGCCGAAAAACCCGTGCCAACAACTCACGGGACCACACAGCAAGGAATGGCGCGAGGCGGTGGATGCGGAAATCAAGGCACTTGAGTCCCGCGACACTTGGGTGCTTGTCGATCGAGCAGCAATCAAGGGAAGAAGGATTCTCTCCGGGAAAATGGGTCTTCCACGTGAAGACCGCAGCGGACGGCACGATTGAGCGATTTAAGGCGCGCTGAGTCGTGCGTCCAGAGGCACGGCATCGAATTCGACCAGACGTTTGCGCCGGTCAGCCGTCACACCTCCGTCAGAATCCTACTCGCCATCGCCGCCGCAAGGCACTTACCACTTTGCCAGATCGACGTGAAGAACGCGTTCCTCTACGCGTTAGTAGATGCTGTGATCTACGTGGAGCAGCCGCACACGTACGGCGAAGGGGATTCACGAGTGTGCCAGCTGCGAAAGTCTCTCTACAAAATCAAACAGGCGCCAAGGCTCTGGCAGCAGTACCTGCACAACATCCTGCTTGAAATAGGCTTCAATCAGCTGCCCCACGATCCAGGGATGTATCGCCGTGATTTCCACGGTGAATACATCCTGCTCACAGTCTACGTTGACGACCTCCTCTACACAGGGTCAAGCAACGAACTGCTTGAGCAGTTCGAGAAGAATCTCGCGGGGCGCGTTGACATCACCTGCAACCATGACGTGAAGCAGTTTCTCGACCTCAACATCTCTTACTCACCAGAAGCCATTCACCCCTCAGCGGCCAAGTATGCAGAAGAACTTGGCAAGCGCTTCAACATCGCAGCTGCACCACTCTCCACCCCTTACCGCACTCCAGGACCCAACCACATGCCTGGCAACAAAGCCCTGTCCCCTGCTGGACTCCAGACTTACCAGCAGCAGCTGGGATGCTTACTCTTCGCCTCTGTTACCTGCAGGCCCGATCTCTCGTACATCGCGAGCCAGCTGGCTAAGTACTCCCGCAAACCAACCACTGAGAATCTCCTAGATCTTCAACGGGCGCTGCAATTTTTCATCTGCTATTCCACAGTCCCAACCACCTCCTTCAGCCTCATCGGCTACGTGGACGCCGATCACGCTGCTGACCCCGACAATCGACGGTCCAGAACAGGGTTCCTGTTCCGCCTCGAGCCAACAGGACCTATCTCCTGGAATTCGCAGAAACAGGAGCTGGTTGCCCTATCGTCCGCGGAAGCTGAATTCATCGCCGCGACAGCAGCCGTTCGCGAAGGGCTCTACCTGCAGGAGCTCCTACAGGAGGCGAAAATCCCATCTTCGCCCACCTTTCGCCTGCACTGCGACAACCAGAGCGCGATCAGGATCGCGAACAAGCCTGGATTCGTCAACCGCACCAAACACATTGCGCTGCGGTACTTCTTTGTCAAGGACGAAGTTGACAAAGGCAAGGTTGACCTAACCTACTGCCCGACGGGTGACAGCTGACTTCCTCACGAAGCGACTGTCACGTCAGCAGTACCAGCACTGCTCCAAACTCAGCGGAGTAGTCAAGCGGGTCAAGACCTGCTACGGCCAGGAGTGAAGGGGGGTGTTACGAATAGTGAAAGATGAAGTGTTACTGTGCACTCCTGACAGAAGCAATCGAAGCATGCAGTACCGAGTCTGAAGACGAACAGGCGGAAGTGACGCGAAGGGTCGTACGGTTACGAAGGATCTCGACCGTCAGGGCAGACAGCATCAGGCAGCAGCAGTGGCGAGGATTCTGCCCAGGCAGTTCGTAACCGTCTGGAGTCGCACGGTTGAGTTTCGCTGCAATAAGGGAATGTAGGGTTTAGGGTACATGGCTAGCTAGGTCGTTTCGTATTCCACCCTGTACTCTTATTTATATGCTTGTATTTGCATGTTTTAAATCATCTCAATCATTTTACATTCACTCAGATTTGAGGTCAAGGGCCCACCACCACTACCTAGTCGTGTGCGAACCTTCCAGAGGTGATCCTGGTTACGATCAACTTCTGATCGCAGCAATAGCAACACACCATATGGTTTTTTGCATAGGTGGTACGTTTTATATCAGAAGCAACTCACTTGTGCGGTATACAACGCAGACAAACACCATCTAAATGGAAGCATTACATGGAGAGTGTACACGCCTTAAGAAAAGTAATGGTACACTCCAAAGAATCGAGAATCACTGCTTCGTGCAGCACAGCACCAGCCGTGCCCCTGCTGCTGCCACCAACACAGGCACCGTTACTGTCACAATCGGGTGGTCCGGAAACAACTGCAAAAGAGCTTGATGCTTCAGCTGCTTCCTCAGCTGCTGCTACTTCTGCTGCTTCCTCTGCTCCTGTTACTTGTGCTGCATCGGCACATGTAGAGTCCGAACCTGTGGCTCCGCTCGGGAGTGGTCCAATGGACTGGCATGGTGGCAGCACAGCCAGCAGCTCAGCCCTGGAAAAAATGCCGGTGCAGACGCCGATAGGCTTGGCACCGCCGAACCTGGCAGCTATGATGTCGTTAGGCTGGAAGAAGAAAGAGGAACAAGAGAACACGTAAGAGTGACGAGGGGAAGAAGGGGAGCGTGGACATTTCGAGTCGACTCAAAAAGTATGGTGGTGCAGAAACGTTGAGGCCGGGATTACAAGGACAGCAGGGAGTGGGAGGAGAGGTAATAGCTGGGCTGAATTCGCCGTGTGATAAACACGAGCATGCGTCATGAATATCCCGCCATGTCCCGAACATGCCATGCCAACTGGCGCATGTTGCTTTATGCGTATCTTACCGTGTCGCCAACATGTGCATGCAGCCGAAAGGGCGGCCCCGCAATTCTCTCATTCGCTCGTTGCCTTGCTATCCGAACTAGCTCTCCCCGATCCATGTGGTCGCTGCCGAACCTGGGCAGGGGGATATAGGTAGAGGTAGAATATGCGAAGACAGGTGAAGGGGGGAAGCCATTGCAGCTATTTCTAATGCGATTGAGGGGGCAGGCACACAAACACCGCCTCTTCAGCATGGTTGCTGCAATGGAAAGCCGGTGCAAAGGCATTTCCATGCTATACTATACCAGGCTACCAGGGCAGGCGCCAGGCGCCTCATTACTCATCCTCACCCTCCCATGCTCATCCTCACCCTCCCATGCGCATCCTCACCCCCCAATGCGTGGCGTGGTGAAGAGCGAATCCACCTCCAACCCTGCCATCTTGAGCCATGCTATCGGCTCCAGATTGCCTGTCACCTGCCATGCCACATATTCCACGCCACGCCACGCCACGCCACGCCACGCCACGCCACGCCACACGATCAGGTTTTGAAAGCAAGCAAACACCCTACACTATGTTGAACGACCAAGCAAGCAACGAGACAAGAATGCTGCTTTCAGGGCAAGAGCAACGGGCACTCAGTCCCACCAACTCATTGAACCGCCTCTCGCCAATCCCAACACCGCACTAAACCGCACTCTGACCAGTCCCACCTCCGCACTCAACCGCACGCTTTCCAGTCCCACCACCGCACTGAACCGCACTCTCACCAGTCCCACCACCACACGGGGCTGCATGCGGGAGAGCTCCTCCAATAGCACGCGGACACCTGGCAGCAGCGCAATGCCATCCGCTGCATCCCCCGCATGCTGCTGACAGTACTGCAGCATGGCTTCACATAACACTGGCAGCTGTGGCTCGCTGATCTGCAGGTGGCAGTGAGGGGTCGAGGGAGGGCCAACAATGGGATGCACAGCGCATGATATTACGCACTGCAGTATATATACAGAGCAGGAAGCCCGTCCACTGCATCCCCAGCTTCTTGCTGGCAGTACTGCAGCATGGCTTCACACAGCACTGGCAGCTGTGGCGCGCTGATCTGCGCGTGATATAGTGTGCAAAAGCAGGGGGCAAGGGGTAGACTAGCAGTCATGCTGCTGGCAGTATGGCACCGCACAGCACTGGCAGCTGGGTCTCACTGGTCTGCGGGTGATTGAGGGGGGGTAACAATGGGATGGACAGGGCACATTCCAAGCACTGCAGCACAGAGCAGCACTGGCATCAACCCCCCCGCATGCTGCTGGCAGTACTGCAGCATGGCACTGCACAGCGCTGATGGCTGGGGCTCGATGATCGCCGGGTGACAGGGAGGGGGGAGCGAGGGCATGAACGCAGCATGTGTCTACAAACTCTGAGCCATGGACTCTGATTAGCCTCTCCTCCTCGACCCCCCCCCCTCACACCCCTCCCCCTCCCCGACCCCCTCACAACGTGGCGCACTCACGTGTCTGGGAATGCCGTAGAACTCGAGCGTGTTGATCAGCACTGCCTGGTCCGTGCTGCCGTGGTGCTGCCGGGGCAAGGGGGAAGGATTTAAGGAAGATATGGGGGTGAAGATGGGAAGGGGGAAAGGAGAGATTGGGAAGGGAAATCGTGGTGCTGAAGGGGAATAGGAGATCGACGGAAGTGGAGAGTGAGGAAAAGGGAGGGTGTGGGACGGAGAGAACGGGGGAAGGGGAGAGCGGGAAGGGGGAAATTGGGGAACGGTACATTTTGGATACCGAATTGCGTTGACGGTGCATTGATCATACCTGAATCGCGTTGGATCGTACCTGTATTGAGACGAATTGTACCTGAATAGCGTCTATGGTGCCATGGATGCCAAACACCTTCTTCATTGCATGCGCGAACGCGCGTTTATGTAATTTATTGGATTCAGAGCCGACGGAGTGGACCAGCGTGCCGTCCACGTCGAACGTGATCAGCACCCGCCAATCAGCGGCTTCTGCCACGTCAGCCGTCTGCGCCATGTCAGCGCTCATGGTTATCTGATTGCGGAAGCGCGGAAGGCGGCGAATGAGTAGGCCGCGTGGTCGATTGCACTGTGACAGGACGTTGCGAGAGGCAGCGGAATTCGCGGAACGGGATCCGCGACAAATTTGCAATAGCAGGGCTTTACGGCCGATGGAATTGGCAGGGGGAGCAGACGTGATTGGGTAATGAATGGGACGCGAGAGGCTCACTGGATCGAAGCACATTGAGGCGGTCGCAGCCGCGACCTGCCAAGGAGCGTTGACGACCGACAGAATAAGAGTGCTGGTGCAGGGTCGACTGGTATGGGATAATGGGACCACTTGTATTGGAGCACAAATCTCACGTGAACACCAACTTCACTAGGTCGAGTTCGGTGGCGTAGTTGACTTTGCGATTTAAAGAACGGTTGAGTGAGGTGAAAGTCAAACAAGATTTGGGTTGTCAGAGCGAACCCCTAGAAACCGCCGAGCTTCCAACCCCCTTGAGAACTACCGCGGTAGACGATTAGTCAGAACAAAAGCGGAAGTGTACGTGTTGAGGCAATGTCGATGAGGTGTAATCTTGCGTTGTGCAAGCCACGAAACGTTTTCGTTGAGGTGAAGTCCGGTTACTCCCGTTTCGTAAGGAAAAGGGGAAAGTGGGGGGTGGGGAAAGACTTCCTTCCGACGCATGTTCAGTCAGTTTAGCGGACCAGGGGAGACGTTTTCCGTTTACATCTCCGTTCTCGTTTCCGTTTCCCAAACGGAGTCAGACACTCCATTCCCATGCCAACCAAGCCATCCACAACTCATCATGGCACCGTCCGTCTGCTCTCCTGCATCCGTGAATAATTCTGCGACTCCTTCTCGACTTCTGACAGGTAGCACTGCTCATGGCGGCACGGCGGATGTCTTATTCTCTCAACTCTTACAGTGTACCTCTTTTCCTCGAACCGCCTCCGAAAAGTACGGTCTGGGAGCGAGACACGTGTGGACTTGTTAGTAAGGGATTGTAACATGATTGGCGGTATTTGCTGGTTCGCTTGTGCGACAGTTTCAAACTAAACGGTGCGCATTGATCGAGCATTCCCTAATGTCCTGTAGGCTCACTTGCCCTAGCATAAGGTAACCCGACCATACGGTTGTTCGCTCATTAGGTCACGAGTACGCTGGAACTGCATCAGAATAGTTCGCATTCGCGAGTAACAGACGGTCGCGAAACCGCGTGTGGTCCGTTCGCGTTGCCTGGTTTCCATTTCGCTATAAACGTCCGTTGCGAATTCGCAGCAACTAGAGAATATGTCGTACCCGGGCCGCCATAGCTCAGATCGAGGCGAATCGGCAGGCAGTCCGACCGACGGGCACAGCAGCAGCTGGACCAATGGCGCGGGATCCGCGGGCCTGCCACGTGTACGGACACGTGGCAGTCCAGCGCTGGCAGCAGCACCAGGCAAATCGTTATCCGCAAACGACCACGTGGCTGCACTCCCATCGTCCCCCGGAGCGGATCCCCGATATAAGACCACCGACGTCGCATATAAGAACGCAGATTCGAATTCTCCGTCGACTGATCTCCCCCCTATAAATACCGCTGACCCACCCACTCGCTCTCACACCATGAACGATGCTCTTACCTCCTCTGCTTCTGCTCTACCCTCCTCCACAATATCCTCCTCTGCTTCTGCTCTTCACGCCTCTACCCTGTCCTCTTCTGTTCATGCGTCGTCCGCGAATCACGTGCATGCCGTCCAGTCCGCGCCGGCCAGCCTCCCCTTGGAATCCGGAAAAGCCGGGAAGCCACGTAGGCCCATCCCGGGACAAATGACGCCTCTAGCGGCGCTCCTGGGATCGCCGCAAACCTCGGGAATCGCGCTCTCGGGTCCCGACGCGTCGCCCCCCCCCATGCTGCTCCCCTCCCCGCCCGTTTCCCCCGTCGGGAACAGCTGCGCGGGGGAGGGGGAAGCCTCCGCGTTTCTCCCCCCCGACTCCGCCACCTCCGCGGGGGCGGGAAGACGGCTTCCCCGCCGCGCGGGGTCGTGGCGGGTTTCGGAGAGCGCGGGACGGGCGGAAGGGGCTGGCGGAAGCGGAATGGACTCCCCGCAGGAGGTGGCGGAAGGGGAAGTGGGGGAAGCGGGAGGGGCGGGGGAGGGGGGGTGTTTCTACGAGTCGGTGCGCGTGCCTCGTGACGTGGTGCGCGTGTGGCAGGACTGCTGGCGTGGCGCGTGGCAGGCTGACGTGGAGATCCGATCCGCCGTGGATGGCGGACTGGTGCTGGCGCAGGGCGCTGTGCTGGTGAGATGATTAATAGCTTCCTTGCTGGTTAGGTAGTTAATACGCTCCTTGCTGTGAGGTAGTTAATATGCTTCTTGCTGATGACATAGTTAATAGGCGTCTCGTTAGTAGGTGCTGGTGAGATAGCTAATAGGCTCGTTGCAAGAGAACTACCCATCCCCCTTGCTCCCTCTTCACCCTCCCTCTCCCCCTCGCTCCCTTTCCTCCCCCTTGCCCCACCCCAGGCGGCCCACTCCCAGGGGAGCGCATGCTGGCAGGCGCCATGCTGCAGCAGGCGCGAGCACTCTTCAACCACGCCCTCCCTTCCGCCCTCTCCAACTCCCCCCTTCCCCCAACCTCCCCCAACCTCTCCCAATCTTCCCCCCGTACCCCAGGCGGCCCACTCGCAGGGCCTGGAGCGCATGCTGGCAGGGACCATGCTGCAGCAGGCGCGCCCCCCGTGGGTGATCGTGCTGAGGGGGGTCCCAGTGGAGGCCATAAGGGGCGTCGTGCAGGCTCTATACTGCGGCACGTGAGTCTGATCTGTGCCTTGTCTGTTATGCGCCTCTCAGTAAGGTAGGTAAGGGGGGAGACAGCGGGTCCCCGTGGGTGATAGTGCTGAGGGGAGTGCATGTGGAGGCTATAAGAATAAGAGGGGTTGTGCAAGCGCTCTACTGTGGCACGTGAGTCTGTGTGTCTTGGCTTGTGGTTCTCCTCTTAGTGAAAGGAGAAAAAGCAGATGGGGCGAGGGAGAGCAGGTCTCAGTTGGTGATAGTGCTCAGGGGAGTGCCAGTGGAGGCCATAAGAGGGGTTGTGCAAGCTCTCTATTGTGGCACGTGAGTTTTTACCTTTGCTTTGTGATTCTCCTCTTAGTCATGGAAGGGGGGAAGGGAAAGAGAGCAGGTGCCAGTGGGTGTTAGTGCTGAGGGGGGTCACGGCGGACGTTGTCAGATCAGGGGTGTTGTTCACGCGCCCATTCCCTCCCCACCCCCCCCGTCAAATCCCTCTGCCTTGAAGCCCTCTTTCCCGCCTCCTCTTGGTTACCCCTTTCTTGTTTGCCCCCGTTTCACCCCCCTCTCCTTCCCGCTCTTCGCCCCCTCTTCCTCCCGACCCGAATTACCACCTCCCGATGGCTCTACACCACGCAATGCATGCTTCTTTTCCCTCTCCCCCCTCCTATTCTTCCCACCTCCCGTCTCGATCCACCCTTCAATAAACGGCAGCATCGTCGATGCACTGCACTGATGGATCGAAAACATCCTCCATCTGCTCCTCATCTCCCCATGCTCCTCCTGTCTTTCCCCTCCCCACTCCCCCCTCCCTTCCTTTAATGAACCAACCAGCATGGACGATGGGTTGATGGATCGGCACATTTTCCACCTCCTCCTCCTCGCGCACTCCCTCCCCATTCCCCTGCTCAAGTCCCTCTGCCTAGAGGCCCTGCGCTCGCGCCTCCTCTCCCCCGCCAACGCCGTCGACTCGCTTGTCCTCGCGCGATTGGTCGGCTCGCGCGCGCTGCAGGCGCTGACTCAGCAGTACATCGTGCGGCACCACGCTGATGTGGCGCTGACGGACGCGTGGGCCATGCTGAGTCAGGAGTACCCGGACGTGAAGGGGATGCTTGTTCAAATGGTGGAAGCGAGGAAGAAAGTGAGTCACATAAATACGAGGGTGGGGTTGAGGGTGGGAGGGTATTAGGGCGAAGTGTTAGGGTGATTGAGTCTGGCAGGACTAGGGGTGAGAGTGAGGAGGAGGAGAGAGTGATGAGTAGCGGCAACAATAGCACGTAAGTAAGGTGTTTTTATTTTTCTAACTGTGGACTGGTGGTGTCAACATTTTCAAGGCAAGGTACCATGAGCAGCAGGCGTGTTGCTTGTCCCTTGTCCCGTGTTCCCACCTTCTTCGCTTCGTGTCCGTGTCCCACCGTGTCCCCCCGTGTCCCCCCGTGTCCCACCGTGTCCCCCCGTGTCCCTTGTCACCGCTTGCCCCGTTTCATCCTACCCCCCGTTGCCTGTTCCCCAATGCCACTTTCATCATACTGGCTGGCAGGGCGGGGAGGGGTGGGCGCGGCAGCAGGTGCAGCAGGCAGTGAGAGCACTGGATAGCGCAGTCAGCCGTTGCCTCTTCCCCAGATTCATCCCTCCCCTGTTACCCCAATGCTGCTTTCCTTCCCATGGCAGCGTGACACTGGCTTGCACGGGGAGGAGGGGTGGGCTCTGCAGCAGGTGCAGCAGGCAGTGAGGGCTCTTGAGCACATCTGCAACGACGGCAGCTGTGCTTCCTCTGCCTCTGCTTCTGCCTCTGCCTCTGTCTCCTCTCCCCCTCCAGCTGCTCACCCTTCTGCTGCTCTTGCCTCCGCTTCCCCCTCTGAGCCTCCCGCTGACCCGTCCTCTGCCTCTGCTGTGGAGAGTGAGGGGGCGAGGGCCGGGACGGGGGTTGGGGGGGATGGGGCAGAGGAAGGGGGAGGAGGAGGAGGGGCGGAAGGGGAGGAAGCGGATTCGGGAAACCCCGATGGTGCTGCTGCTGCTGCTGCGGCTGGTGCTGTGGCAGATACTAATTCTACAGACCCTCAGAATCAACCAGGCGAAACGGGTCAAACCGGCCAATCAAGTCAAGCATGCGAATCAGGACCGCAAACCCTCTCCCCTGCAACCACGCTCGCACCTACCCTCTCCTCCCTCTCCTCCTCCTCTCACTACCTCGGCGGCAGCGGCACTCTCTCCACCCTCTCCTCCTCCTCCTCCCTCCTCTCTGTCCGCCCCATGTCCCCCCCCACACCCGCCACCCCTGCCGCCCCCCCCACCCCTTGCGGACTCCCCAAGTGCCGCCCGGTAGAGGGGTTGATTCGGCACTTTGCTAAGTGCGGTGTGAAGGTGTCGGGAGGGTGTGGGAGCTGCAAGGTGGTGTGGCAGCTGTTGGAGCAGCACTCAAGCGCGTGTGAGAAGCACAAGGGATGCCGCGTCCCTCTGTGCAGGTGAGACATCTGTGTGTGCCGTGCTTGCCATTCTCCCTAAGGTTGTGCGGGAGCTGCAAGGTGGTGTGGCAGCTGCTGGAGCAGCACTCGAGCGCGTGTGAGAAGCACAAGGGATGCCGTGTCCCTCTGTGCAGGTGAGACACCCTTGTCTGCTTGCCATGCTTGCCATACAGGTTGTTTGTGCATGCAAGGTGGTGCCATGCCATGCCAATCTCTCTAAGGTGGTGTGGCAAGGTGGTGCTGGAGCAGCACTCGAGCGCGTGTGAGAAGCACAAGGGGTGCCACGTTCCTCTGTGCAAGTAATAGAGTCATGCCTGCCTGCCTGCCTGCCACTGTTGCCATACAAGGAACCTGCCTGTACATGCCTGCCTGCAGGTTCCGTGTCCATCTCGCTTTCCCTCCTCTCTCTCCCTTCCTTGTCTGCTGGCCGTCTGCACTTGTCCCACGTGCCCTGCTTCTGTGTAGCTTCCCTTGTCCTGCATTGCTTTCTGAGATGTTAGTGGTGTCTTGAGTTGACCTGCTCTTCCCCGGGGCCAATCCCTGCTTCCACTGCACTATATATTTCTTCTGGCCCTGGATGCCTCCCTGCTGCCACAGGCAATTCAAGAGCAAGCAGCAGCAGGAGCAGGGCAGTGGGGGGCCTTCTGCAGGCAAGGAGAAGCTGAGTGCAGCAGAGCACGCAGAGCAAGTCACAGCACTGGCCAAGGCTCTCTTGGCTTTAGAAAATGCCAAGTCATTCTAAGGCGGGTATTGGGCCAAGCTACACTTGCTGCTCGCACGCGAGGAGAAGTGAGTGCAGGAGAGAAGGCAGAGCAAGTCATCTCACTAGTCAAGGCTCTCTTGACTCCTCTAGAGAATGCCTAGTCGTTCTAAGACTGATTTTGCCAGTGAACCCAAGTCAATGTACCTACTACTGCTGTTGGGACTCGTTTTGAGACTTTCCTGCTTGCAGGCAAGGAGGCGTTGCCAGCAGCAGAACTAGCAGAGCAAGTGGCAGCACTAGCTAAGCCTCTTATGGCTGTATAGAATGTGAAGTCAGCTACCGCAGAAGTTGTGGAGTTTTGTATAGGGGGATATTGGAAAACCATGTTGCCTCACAAGAGGGCTTCGTCTGGTCTGGATTCTCTCAGCTTCATCCAGTCACTTCTTTCTTGCTTACGATAGGTATCTTAGACCATGCTAACACCACCCACACCATCACATTCCATCCTTGCGTATCGCTGCTTGTGCAGTGGGTTGAACCGTGGGCCGCGGCCTTTCCTGACAGCCACGTGTTTCGAGTGCATCCGACTTCCTAACAGTAGCTAGAGGAGAAGAGGGGAGAGGAGAGGATACAGGTGCGGTAATTGCATGAATGTAAGGTTTGCTTGAAATCTTCCAGCCAACTCGCTTTACCGCCCTATACTGCTTCGGCAAAAGTGTAACAGTCTGCACGTATGGAACACCGTAGCAGACTTCTCATGTTTTGGCTGCTCATATGTTTTGCAACCGCCAACTCTCACATGTATTTACAAGTGCACAACACTACCCTATTCAAGACTGTTTAGTTTACTACAGGATAGGAGCACCTGAAAGCAAGCAGGTGACATGTAGAGCTTACTGCCCTATTGCATGCACGACTCAGCACTTCAACCCTCAATTGCACTGCATTGAACAGCACCACACCACACTGCAGCACAGCTTGAATGTCTCCGCCAGTGGCCGTCTGGTGCAGGCCAGGGCCACAGCAGTGCGCGAACAGGGCGCTCTCCCCAACGCCTGGCTGGTCAAATTCTAAGCCATTCCTACCGCACTGAATCGCACGTCACAGAACCGAACCTAGAGCTTGGGCGTCTCTGCCATAGTTTGCCTGGTGCGAGCCAGAGCCACAGCAGTGCGGGAGCAGGGCTCTCTTCCCAACGCCTGGCTGATGAATGCCGATGCGTCGAGCAGCTTGTCAAAGTCTATGCCCGTCCTACCGCACCGCACCGCACCAATCCGCATCACAGTTTAGGCGTCTCTCCCATTGTCTGCCTGGTGCGGGCCAGAGCCACAGCAGTGCGGGAGCAGGGCTCTCGCCCCAACGCCTGGCTGATGAACGCCGATGCGTCGAGCAGCTTGTCAAAGTCTATGCTCTCCTCCTACTGCACTGACCGCACCGAACTGCACCACACCGCACCGCATTAAAAAGCATCACAGTTTAGGTGTCTCTGCCAGTGTTTGCCTGGTGCGGGCGAGGGCCACAGCAGTGCGAGAGCAGGGCTCTCTCCCCAACGCCTGGCTGATGAACGCTGATGCTTCGAGCAGCTTGTCAAAGTCTATGCTCTCCTCCTACTGCACTGACCGCACCGAACTGCATCACACCGCACCGCATTAAAAATCATCACAGTTTAGGTGTCTCTGCCAGTGTTTGCCTGGTGCGGGCGAGGGCCACAGCAGTGCGAGAGCAGGGCTCTCGCCCCAACGCCTGGCTGATGAACGCCGATGCGTCGAGCAGCTTGTCAAAGTCTATGCTCTCCTCCTACTGCACTGACCGCACCGAACTGCACCACACCGCACCGCATTAAAACGCATCACAGTTTAGGTGTCTCTGCCATAGTTTGCCTGGTGCGGGCGAGGGCCACAGCAGTGCGAGAGCAGGGCTCTCGCCCCAACGCCTGGCTGATGAACGCCGATGCGTCGAGCAGCTTGTCAAAGTCTATGCCTGTGTGAATGCCCAGCCCATGCAGCAGATACACCACGTCCTCTGTTGCCACGTTGCCTGACGCCCCCTTGGCGTAGGGACAGCCCCCTAGGCCGGCTATTGAAGAATCAACCACCGATACTCCCATCTGCGTGTGGTGGGGAGTAAGGGTGGTGGAGGGCGAGAGCAGGGAAGCGCAGTGCTGGTGAGCACGTAAAGAATGCAGGCTTATGATTTGGTGGGCCATCCAGAACACAAACACATGTGCATCACCCCCAGCCCATGCAGCAGTAACACCACATCCTCTTTTGCCTGATGCCCCCTTGGCGTAGGAGGGGATACTACCGGAGCAGCTATTGAGGAATACACCACTGATACTCCAATGAGCAAGGGCGGGAGAAGGGCAACAACATGAGGGCACCAACATGAGGGCACCAACATGAGGGCACCAACATGAGGGCACCAGCACGAGCATTCACAGGCGTTAGCCATCTCACCTGCAGGGCCACAAGAATGTTGGCAAGCGCCTGGGCGTAGGTGTGGTGGAAGTGAACAGCAAGGGAGGTGAGGTTTGCGTTGATTGATTCATGCACCCTTCACAGCATCCCATCCACTCACACGCAGGTCACCACACATTACCTGCAGGGCCACGAGAATGTTGGCGGCCTGGCCGTAGGTGTCGTGGAAGTGGGGTTGAGGGAGGAGAGGGAGGTGAGGGGAGTGAGGCACGATACCTCAATTCCTGCAAGACCCTCAAGGGAGGGAAGCACCCCAAAGCACCTCACCTGCAGAGCCACGAGGATGATTTGGGGTGTGGTGTGATGTGGTGTGGTGGAAGTGGAGGGCGAGGGAGGCGGGTCGTGGGTTGGCTCCATCATTCAACGTGACGGCTACATGCAAGGCACGCATGTCACGGGAATGCGAGCACAAGCATGGCAGCCATATCACCTGCAGCGCCACGAGGATGTTGGCGAGGGCTTGACCATAAGTGTCGTGGAAATGAACAGCGAGGGAGGCGGGCGGCACGCATGCACATACGGCGTCCAGCATGGGCGCCACTGAGCCTGGTGGGGTGGGTTAGCGGGAGAACGGAACACAGATATTAGCTGGTTGGGGTGTGCATGAGCCCAGGTGTACAAATGCAGCGAGGGAGGGCGGCGGCACACATGCACACGGCGTCCAGCATGGGCGCCACTGAGCCTGGTGGGGTGGGGAAATGGGAGCAGCTCGAAACACAGAGATTAGCTGGTTGGGTCTGCATGCGCCCAGGTGCACGAATGCAGCGACGGACGAGGGCAGCACACATGCAACACAGCATCCAGCATGGGCGCCACTGAGCCTGGTGGTTCAGGGGGGGTTGGGACGAGGCAGGAGGAACACACGGCAATGGAGGAGTGAGAGGGAGGAGGGCGGCACACATGCAACAGGGCGCCCAGCATGGGCGCCACAGAGCCTGGTGGGGTGGGTTAGTGGGGCGTAGGGGAGGAGAGCAGCGACTGCTTGGTTGGGATGGGGACTGCACGCGGCATTGTGAGCATGCACACACAGCAGCCAGCATGAGCACCACTGCTGTCACCGGGCCGACCGCACAGCACCGCTTTGAACCTTACCGGGAGTGCCGACACCAATGGTGTCCCCCAGAGACACCTCATAGCACCCCATGTCATGCAGAGCTTTTGCCACCCTCGCCACTGCTGCTGGGGCTATGTGACCTTCGTTGCACCTCCCAGAACCTCACAGCACCGCACAGCACTGCACAGCACCATACTACACCGCACTGCACCGCTTTGAACCTCACCGGGAGTGCCGACGCCGATGGTGTCCCCCAGAGACACCTCATAGCATCCCATGTCGTGGAGAGCCTTGGCCACCCTCGCCACTGCTGCTGGCTCTATGTGTCCTTCGTAGGGGCAGCCCACCGCACAGGACACGTACCTGCACGTGGGACAAGGGGCAGCGGGCAGGAGTAAGTGCGTGAAAGTGGGCATATAAGCTGGTAACTGATTCAACATTCAGATCTATGTGGCTTTCATAGGGGCACTCCACCCAGCACACAAGATACATGGCGGAGGCACCAAAGAGAGAGGAAGCAAGAGCAGGTGAGAGAAGCAAAGTAAAATGGCACACTCCTACAACCAGCCCCTTCAGCAGCCCTTGGGCAAGGAACAAGGAACCCCTCACACACACACACACACACACACACACACACACACACACACACACACACACACACACACACACACACACACACACACAAAGCGCGTCTCTTACACCTTCTGTTACCAATGCCAATCATACCTCACTCTTGCTTACCCTCGCACAGGAATGCCTCTGTCCCTTGCAGCATCACAAACCGCTCTGTACCGCTCCAGACTCTCCTCCACTGAGCAGTTGATATTCTTCTTGGAAAACGCCTCAGAAGCAGCAGCAAACACGGCCACCTCCTTGGCCCCGGCTGCCACGGCATTCTCAAGGCCTCTTAAATTGGGCGTTAGAACGGGCAGCTTGGTGCGGCCGTTGCTCTGCACTCGCTGCATCACCTCCGGTGCGTCTGAGAGCTGCAGGGACGAGGAAAGGGGAGGGAGAGAGGGTGAAGAAGGGGCTAGGCACAGCAAGCACTGCCACTTCTCTCGACCCGCCTGCTGTTACCTGAGAGCTGCAGAGATCTAAGCAGCTGCACCTCTAGAAACCTGCAGCTGAGGGATCCATTTTGGGGAGTCGAAGCTGGTAGTCCAACCGCCATGAGGCGATGTATGAGCTCCTCCTTCACTCCCACCGCCACCTGCTGCTCCTCATTTTGATTGTACTCGTTATAAGCAGCTGCAGTATGCTAACACCCACCTGAGGAATCCATTTCGGGGAGACGAAGCTGGTAGCCTCCACAACAGGCAGCCCAGCGGCCATGAGGCGATGAATGAGCTCCACCTTCACGCCCACCGCCACCTGCTGCTTCTCGTTCTAACCGTACTCGTTAAATCCAGGGTCTCAAGTAGACCAAATGTTTTGCAGTGTTCTGGGCCCAAATTTTTGTCCAATCTGAGACTCGCCAAAGTACCCATTTTTCGCCCAAGTGTTTTGCAGTTGCACGGCCAACCCGTACATGAGACCCTGGCTTTAAAAGAAGCTGCGTCAGTAGCATCACCCACCTGAGGGATCCACTTGGGCGAGACGAAGCTGGTAGCCTCCACCACGGGCAGCCCGGCAGCCATGAGGCGGTGAATGAGCTCCACCTTCACGCCCACCGCCACCTGCTGCTTCTCGTTCTGCAGCCTGTGAAACTCACCTTTACTCACTGTAAGCAGCTGCGTCACTGAACGCACCCACCTGAGGGATCCACTTGGGGGAGACGAAGCTGGTGGCTTCGACAACAGGCAGCCCAGCGGCCATGAGGCGATGAATGAGCTCCACCTTCACGCCCACCGCCACCTGCTGCTTCTCGTTCTGCAGCCCGTCCCGCGGCCCCACCTCCACCACCTTCACATACCGCGGTAGCCACTGCAGCGGGTCAGACCGCACCGGCTCTGGAACTCTGCTCTCACTCTCACCCTTGCCATTGCCGCTGCCACGGGTGTCGCTGGTGGCGCTGATGCCATCAATGGCACTGCTGTCACCCATGCCATTGGTTCTGGTGCTGTGGTCATGGGTCACGCTCACGCCACTGATATTGCTAGGCACAGAGAATTCTCCCCTGCGCTGCTGGCCTCTAGGGCTAAATGCCTTCAGCTGCTCCCCTCGGGGGCTGACCCCTTTGTGCATCTGCCCGCGCGGGCTGTTTTCGCAGCTGCTGGTGGCGGCGGTGGCTGCTTCGTGCAGCTCTCGCCACCACGCGGCGCCGCCCAGCCCCGACCCCGTGCCAGCCGCGAATTGGATCGCCTGCCAGCTGCCCCCGCTTCCTTGTAACGAGCGCGCGCCGCTGCCGCTGCCGCTGGTGCTCATGCCGCTCATGCTGGTCATGCTGGTGCTGAAGCAGCTGCTGTTGCTCATGCTTCTCGAGAAGGGTAACGGAGAGAGGAACGAGACTCCGTGAAAAGGAAACGCATCCACATCCAGACCGGCGCACACGTGGCTGACTCCAATTGGACCTGCTAAAGCGGCGGTTGCTGCCGCTGAAGCTGTCGTTGCTGCAGCTGCCGTGGCTGCTTGAACCGCCATGGAACTGCAGGCACTCATACTGTTGTTAGCGTTAAGCAATTCTAGGTGGTGAGTGTTAAGAGCGTCTAGGTGGTGAGAACTGTGAGCGGTGGACGCAGGAGGACCAGGAGCCACCGTGCTGGACGATAATACTGGTGCTTGTGGTGACGCGTGAGACGCTTCTAATCCCATCGCGCCACGTGGCGTCCAACGAGCTGCGAAGAGCTGTGCTGCTGGTTTGGTGGAGGGAACGCTTGTACTGGATGAAGAGACACGTGGGAGACAATGGTGGAGAAGACGATATTATATGTTGTTTGCGTGCCCGAGTCGTTACGATTACATACGAAATGAACAGGAATGACTCGATTGCCACCTTACACCAATGCGCGAGACAATTTAAATACAATTGTTTTGAATGCGGTCATACCTCGCCCCTGAATGGTATCCGAGGTTAAGCCGTCTGCCAGCTATTCTTAAGAACGTGTCGGCTCGTCCCATAATCACCAGGTGCGCGTCAGTGGTATAGAGTCGTGAGGTAGCTCTGAGCGATGGAGGTAATTTCGCACATTATACACACAATGGCTCAAAAGGTACTGTTATAATAGGCGAAGCTAACGGCTAATTCGTGCTTCTTACGCTTTGAATACACGTCGAGGATAATCTACGGCTGACTCTGGAGGTTGAACGTCTGGCGAGTGGCGAACAGGGAGGATTACCTGGCAGAGGCATTCAGCAGTTACTAGTCTGAAAAGGAATACGGGAACTGCAAAGCTGTATTTTGCGCGTACAAAACAGCAGCTGAACCAGCCACTGATTTACAGGAAGGATTCGCAGAGAGGTCAGGAGGAATCACAACTGTCGAGAAAACCCATTCACTAATCAGCTCGATCTACCAGGATTCTCTGACGGCATTGCTGATGGGAATTGGAGTCATGCTGATGAGAGTTATGGTCCCAGAAACGTCAATTTGCCGACCGACTGTAATTCCTCGTAGGCGCCACGTCATAACGGCAGCTGATTGAGGTGGAATGTTTGTTCTGGAAACCCGCCATACACGGCTCTCCAATTGCGGTGTAGAGACTATACTTGTCCTCAAAAGAAGAGTTTACCATCGCGTACATCTTCGGTGGCGTGGCTACTCCACGTGTAGTTTCTCAATTAGCCTGAATGTCACATGAGCATTGCCGATGTAACCAATGCCCAATCTTCTCATCTGACCTGGACAGTGCAATATTTGTTTCTGCCCAAAACACATCTACGTCGGACAGATCTTGCATGTCCTGTTTGACGGACGGACGGATCGACAGGCTGACATGGGAGCGACAACATCAAGGACAGATTCGAGGTGACCGAATTTCAGGATCCATCAGAGATGGGCATGGGAGGTCCCTGGCCTGGTTCAGAATTCAGGGCGGGCGTGGAACATTTGGTACTGGTTGTGGTTCTGAGGAACGTCGTCACGGGCAAAACAGGTTTCGACGAGCGTGGTTACAAGTTTCGGTTGTTTTACAACCTGAAGAAGCTCCCTCCATCCCCCTCTCCCTCCCTCTCCCTTTCCGTTGTTCTTTCTGCCTCTCTCCCATATCTTCACAGCTGCACATTTCATTTCATTTCAGCTGTCTTTTGACTGACCAGGGTCACGCCGCTCACAACCAGCTTTCCGTTTTCCGGTTGAGAACTCACTGCTGCGACTGCTGGTTTGCGTGACCGTGAGCCTTTTCATTTCCCCCTGCATTCCTGCAATAGCCAGCCATGGCATCCGCATCCGCGTCGCTGCTTCAAAAGGCATTCCTGGCCGGATCGCCCCTGAAACTCTCCGCAACTTCCGGCACCGCTCTCGCAGCCACCAATGTCTCCCTCGCAGCGCCATTTCGGAAGACCCCCGCCGTGCGGGCCATGTCCGGAAGCAACGTCGGCGAGATCGCGAGCGTCAAGGCCCGTCAGATCATCGACAGCCGCGGAAATCCGACGGTAGAGGTTGATCTGAGGACGTCTAAGTCCAGCACCGTGTTCCGCGCCGCCGTCCCTAGCGGCGCGTCGACGGGGATCTACGAGGCGCTGGAGCTTCGCGACGGAGATAAGAGCAAGTTCGGCGGGAAGGGCGTGCTCAAGGCCGTTGCGAACATCAACAACATCATTGCCCCCACGCTGATCGGCCTCGATCCGACGTAATGCGGACGGGATTTCTCGGTTCTTTTTCTGCATGATTACGAAGAGTGCAACTGCGGAGTCCAGAATGCCGGAGGCAGCAATGTGCATTTCAAATCTGGACTTTGAATCCAGATGAGTCTCAAATGCGGTGTCCACGATTTCAAATCCCTCTCTGGCCTTCTCAAGTCAAACTCTCTTCATGGATGACCACAAGTCCTTCTATCCTTAACCTCCCCCCGCCTAATCCCTGCTGCTCTCGACGGCACGTCCAAATCACATCAAATCATGTCTCATGCTCCGAGGCATTTCAAATCAATTTTCCTCAACTCTCGTGTTATCCCCTACCTCAGGGACCAGCGCGCCATCGACGCGCTCATGCTCGAGCTCGACGGCACGCCCAACAAGTCGTCGCTCGGCGCCAACGCCATTCTCGGCGTCTCCCTCGCCGTCGCGCACGCCGGCGCTGCCGGCAACTCGGTCCCGCTCTACAGGTGAGCTCCGCTATAAGTCATAGGCTTGCATCGTTATAAGCTTGAGCCGTTCCCAGCCACAGCGCCGCTCGTCATCATGCCCGTGCTCGCCATTACCGTCCGGCGCTCACTCTTCTCGTCGACCTCATCAATCACCTCTCAGCGGATCGGTCACTCGCTCCTTCTCCCTCTTTTCCTAGGCTCCTCGCCTCCCTAGCAGGCTTGGAGAGGCTCGTGAGTCGTGATGCCCGTGCCCGCCATGAACGTCATCAACGGCGCTTACTCTGCTCTTCGCCTTTCCCCCTCTCCCTTTCCCTCCTTTCCCCCCAACCCCCCAGGCACCTGGCCTCCCTGGCAGGCGTGGAGAAGCTGATCATGCCCGTGCCCGCCATGAACGTGATCGGCGCTTTTCCTTCTTCCCTCTTCCTTTCCCTCCACTTTCCCCCAGGCATCTTGCCGCCCTAGCAGGTGTCGAGAAGCTGATCATGCCCGTGCCCGCCATGAACGTCATCAACGGCGGCAGCCACGCGGGCAACAAGCTGGCCATGCAGGAGTTCATGATCCTCCCCACTGGCGCCTCCTCCTTCTCTGAAGCCATTCAGATGGGATGCGAAGGTGAGAAGGGCAGGGAGATAAGCAGGGAGGAGTAGTCTGATAAGCAGCAGTGGCCACGCACCAGAGGCAGCCACGCGGGCAACAAGCTGGCCATGCAGGAGTTCATGATCCTTCCCACTGGCGCCGCCTCCTTTTTCGAGGCGATTCAAATGGGATGCGAAGGTGAGAAGGGCAGTGTGATAAGCAGTGAAAGGCAGTGTGATAAGCAGTAATGGGGACGGATCAGAGGTAGCCACGCGGGCAACAAGCTGGCCATGCAGGAGTTCATGATCCTTCCCACTGGCGCTTCTTTTTTTTCCGAGGCGATCCAGATGGGGTGCGAAGGTGAGAGACAGCAAGAGGGGCGGTCTGATAAGCAGTGAAAGGCAATGTGATAAGCCGTAATGGGGGCGCACCAGACAAGTGGCAGCCACGCGGGCAACAATCTGGCGATGCGGGAGTTCATCCACCTCACCCTACCGACCACCCTCCCCCAACCCTGCCCCTCCCTTCCACTTACCTTCACCAGTCGCGCCCCGCCCCCTGTCCCGTATCCCTTCACATCCCTGTCCCCAGTGTACCAGGTGCTGAAGGGCATTATCAAGAAGCGGTACGGGCAGGACGCGTGTAACGTGGGTGACGAGGGGAGGGGGTTGACTCATCGTTCTGATTCTGACAGCCCCTCCCTTCCGCTTACCTTCACCAATCGTGCCTTGCTCCCTGCCCTGTATCCTTTTACATCCCTGTCCGCAGTGTACCAAGTCCTCAAGGGCATCATCAAGAAGCGGTACGGGCAGGACGCGTGCAACGTGTTGATCTTCTAGCCTCGGATCATCATCTTTCCCCTTCTAACCCTGACTCCTTGCCCTTTCCTCGCTGCCCGTTCCTCCCATATCCTCCCCTCCCAGTGTACCAGGTGCTGAAGGGCATCATCAAGAAGCGGTACGGGCAGGACGCGTGCAACGTGGGCGACGAGGGCGGGTTTGCGCCCAACATTCAGGACAACAAGGAGGGGCTCATTCTGCTGGTGGATGCTATCGATAAGGCTGGGTACACCGGCAAGGTGAGGGTGGGAAGGCGGATAAGGCAAGGGGGGAAGGGGACCTTAGAGCCCAACATTCAGGACAGCAAGGAGGGGCTGGTGCTGCTGGTTGATGCCATCGATAAGGCGGGATACACTGGCAAGGTGATGAGGAGTAGAGGGGAAAAGGAAGGGGGGTAACACGAGCAAGTGATTGGAAAAAATCAGTATCTGCACACAGAATGAGGAACGAAGGGAGAACAGGAGGCGGGGAGGGGGGACGACAGGGATAACCACCTGCATCATAGATGAGAAACACTGGGGTACTGGTGCAATGATGCTCGAAACTGGGAAGTATGGTGCCGTCAAGACTCTGTTGGAACATTCCAGACCACCCACTCTCTTTCAACCTAGTTTCTGTTCTGAACCACCCTCCACACTCACCCAAGTCCACGGTCCATGCCTCCCACTCCTCATCTTCCACACTGCAAGCGTGTTGTCAACTCAAGCAAACCCTGATGCGCATGTCCCAGATGTCTTATTCCACCGTTTCTCACCCATCCCCATCC